TGTACTTAGATACTGATATCATGATTGTATAAAAGTACACATGCTTTAAATTTATATTGTAATGTTGTACACATTGCACTTTTAGGCACTTGTAGGTACTATCCATGTTTGTTTCGGACAAAAGATATGTATGAATATGGCTATAGAAGATCAGAATTATTCATACATCCTTTAAATTCTACAGGATCCTCATGATGAGCTGAAAAACCAGAATGTGTTGATTGTTCAAGGGTCGCTGGAAGACACAGCCCAAAAGTTTTCTCTAAGCCCTCAAGAAGTTAAAGATATTTTGGAGAAGTGTAGAATTCTTCTTTATGCAGAGAGACAAAAACGACCCAAGCCTCACCTTGATGACAAGATTGTAGCTGCTTGGAATGGTAAGGGTTTAAATAAAAAATTGTAAAAAAAAATAATAATAATAATAATAATATTCCTATCAGGTCCGAGCTGCACAGTAATGCTTATGATTTATTTATTTGATTAGTATTAAATTCATGTATGTATAAATATGGATTTATTAATTTTTGATAATTGTATGGTACTCTAAGGTCTTGAAAGTATAAAGCCTTTTAAGAAAATGAGCTAATATTGAAAATAAGCCCCTGATATCTTGAACTCAAGTTTATTTGAAAAATAGCTTGCTTTCATTAAATGTATTGTTTATGTCTTCAAATTATTTCAAAGCCACTTGCGTCAATCACAGCTAGCTACATGCAAAACATTTACATTTCAGTAATATGTATACATACACAGGAATAACCCATGATATATTGTGGAATCATTTCAATTCATTTGGGTCAACGTTCATGGGCAAGCAAAATTTTACTTGTTCGTGGGGAGGTAATTTAGTGGGTACTCATTTATAGGTAGATTCAATGAATTAATATGTTTACAAAATAATCTGTTATGGGGATGTAAATTCGTGGGTAAGGGTGACTCACAAAATCCACAAATATTGGTCCCCCACGTAGATGATTCCACAGTAGACACTGTAAACAATGTGCAAAGAAAAATTATCTTACAAAATTATACAGAGCTGATTTTCATTTCTTTTGATATTTTCACATGTAAAAATTTGTCTGCTCTTGAAAGTAAGCTTCAGTTATCCAAATCCAAAAAAAAAAAAAAAAAAAAAAAAAAAAAAAAAAAAAAAAAACACTACAGCTTTATTTTGAGGTTGGTATTTAATAAACAAGTCTAAATAAATATGCCTAAGAGAATGACAGAGAACCTTAATTTAATGCAAAACAGTTATACTGCAATTTTTACTGATTCTTTCAAGCATAATATATAGAGTGTTGTCATAGAACTGTACTAACAAATACATATTTCTCAGGTTTAATGATTTCTGGGTTGTCCAAGGCAGGACAAGCCTTGAAAGAATCTGCATTTGTGGATCAAGCTCTGAAAACAGCCACATTTTTGAAAAATCACATGTACAACAAAGAAAGCAACACTTTGTACAGAACCAGCTATGTGGAGGAGGAGAAAATTACAATAGGGCAAGTTTAAAGTTTCCAACTAAAACATGATTTTGTCAGGGTATAAGATGTTCAAACTATTGAACTTGTATATTTAGTATTCTTATTCAAAAGAACCAACTGGATGTCATTTAGACAAAGTCACAGAATTTCAGAAGTGCTAAATTCTAATTAACATACTGATGCCATCCTATTTTCTAGTCGTACTGTTGAGAATGGACGTAAAATTACATGTATTAAAATTTAAACAGTTTTTGGCGTATTCTGGCATTACAGGTCTGCACCAATTGAGGGATTTGTGGATGATTACAGCTTTGTTATCCGAAGTCTCCTGGATTTATATGAGGTTTGTCATGATGATGCGTGGGTAGAATGGGCAGAGCAGCTACAGGAGCAGCAGAATGCCTTGTTCTGGGACAGCAAGGGAGGAGCATACTACAGCAACAGTGGCAAAGATGCCTCCATTGTGCTCAAACTTAAGGATGGTTAGTATTTGGAATGTAAAAAAAATGCAACTATCTGAACTGATACTGCAAGGGAGTCTGTTTACCTGTACTTTAATTGCCAACATTTAATTAGTGCATTTATACATGTGCATGTAGTTTTAGTTGATTATTATTCTGGATACATGTACATTCTTCTAATGAACTTTTGCATTTTCTCACATAAAACAAAATAAGTCTAAATATGCAATATAAAAAACAAAATCTGTAAAATGCAGAAAAATTATCCAATCATGATGAAAATACCAGGTGCACATCTTTGTATGGTGAATACCGGTAATCAGTGTACAAATTTTCAGTCAAATCAATGTAATAGTGTTCGAGAACAAAATCCCGTCTACAGACAGATGGACAGACAGACAGATATGCTGATTCCAATATACCCCCCTTAACTTCGTTTGTGGGGGTATAAAGACAAAAATAATTATACTAAGACTTAAAGCTTTTGGTTAACAGTCAATTTTCAAGTCTATTCAACTTCAATTTTAGACCAAGACGGTGCTGAACCATGCCCCAATTCTGTTGCTGTTAGCAACTTGGCCAGATTAGGGACACTACTGAATAAAGAAGATTATCATGAGAAAGCTGCCACAATTCTGAAGGTGTTTTTTGAAAGACTTACAAAGATTCCCATTGCTTTGCCTGAGATGGTGTGTGGACTGATGCTTGTACAAGACACTCTGAAACAGGTGATTATAATCCTTCCTTAGTTATGACTTTTATTTTTACAAAACATGTAGCTCGATCATTTCGTATATTTAACGTTTGTACAATGAACAACAATTTTTTGAAACCTTGAGAGCAAAATTTGTTCATATTTTTCTTGAAAAAAAATTTGTTACCTCTGCATAGAGGATTTTGCTAGATCTCTTGATTTTTGCAATGCTTTGGATTTAAGGTATTCAATGTATAACGACCATATTTTGTATCTTATAAATGAATGGTCCTATATTTGTAATTATGGTATCAATTTGATGGTGTTGTGAAATAAAAATACTCCACCAAAGAAATTTTAAAAAAATTTATTATTGTCAAATTAATTGCACCTTGAATTTTACATTGAAGTCTATGGAGAATGCATGAGTTATTAGGATATTGTAAAAAGTATTTTGAATTTCATAAAAAGCTCTTGGTGAAAATATGCATACACTCTCTCATTATTAAAATATGAAATAAAATTAATCATTTACCACAGAAATTTTGACGAAATTAAAATTTTCTTCTTTGCATCAAGGGCAGATAACTCTTCAAAAACTTTAAAAGTGCAGAATGACCAGCTTCTTATATGTTATCAGTCATGTGAATTTGGTTCATTTCACTTTCATCGTTATCTAGCAATGCAATTTTAACTAGTTTAAAATGATTCAAAATTCTTCAAAAATCCCCTCATTATACATTGAATACCTTAAGTAAAGGGGCTTTTAAAAAGGGAAGAAAATTTAAGGAGATGGCTGTCTTACATATAGATAAGGATTGCATGTGCAGTGTCTTAATACTTTTATTAGCATTGCTCTACTTCAGTGAAGCCTGAGGTAGAAGAGCTACATGTACATGTATATGGATGTTGATTACTGTAAAAGCAGAAATATTCATTGGGGATTAAATTTCGTTTATTCTTTGTTAACAACTATCAACAAAATTAAATCCCACATGAAATTTTTATAAGACTATTTATTGAATAGAGTTACTTTCGAAACAACGAAATGTAATGCCCACGAAACCTTTTTAGATAACAACTCAACAAAAACTTTATCCCCACGAAAATTTATGTTTCTACAGTATTTATGATAATCAGAATTCTTTCTTTGAAAAATCTTTTTTTTAACTTAAAATATCCATGTTTTTAGCATTTGTGCTAAATTTTTATCCCTTTATTTTTTCAGATTGTATTGGTAGGAGACCCAAACTCAGAAGATCTGAATGCATTGATAAATTGTGTTGACAAACATTATTTATCAAACAAAGTTACGATTATCTGTGATGGCAAAAGTGACCAGTTCTTACTTGGAAAACTTGAATTCTTGAAAACATTAACACAGAAGGACAACAAAGCTACTGCATATGTGTGTGAGAAGTATACATGTGAACTCCCTGTTACTTCTGTTCCAGATTTAGAAAGGGTTTTAAAAGTTTAACAATAATTAAACCAAGGTTTACACATGCATGATGCACTCTTTACAGTGACCTACAAATATAATCATGAGGACTTTCTTAAATCTTAATTTAAGAGGAATAATGACGTACTACACACAACTCTTTTATCCTGCTTTTACCAGTACTCTGAGTCCAGCATTTTCCTCTGAAATAAATAGATTTTTTGTTGGTAATCTAAAGGGTGTGAATATAACTCATTTTCTCACAATCCTTTTGAAAAGTGCACAGATGTACTGCAATTAAGAAATGATTAATGCTTGTCATTTTTCACATTTCAAAAGTGTGCTGAATAATATCCATTTGCCTCACAGAAATTAACATTGTCACAGCATTGAAGTGCTTGATTACTTACTACTGTTATAAATTTTGTGTTCTGAACTTTTCATAAAATTCATAAATGCATGATTTGAATGTATTGATATGATTATTATATAATTGGAAACACATATATTGACTTCATATTATTATAAATGTTATTTATTGGAGTGTTGAGCTTGCTGAAGTCATAAATTAAAAACTTGGAAGTAGAAAAAGTATTTGTTTTTCATTGATATTGGTGTCGCTTTGGTCACAATTAAATGCTTGGAGATGGGATCCCCCCCCCCGCAGTTCGTACTCCAAGGTTCTCTGACTTTTTTTTATATATAATATTTTTCTATGAAACATTCACAAAGTTACAGTTGAAAAATCTAAAATATAACCTAAAATATAGCGTTCTATAAGAAATTCACACTCTCTGATTGTCTGATACTAAAAGGGGAGTTCCTCAAGCACCTGTGGTTTTAGTTTTTGGTAGTTTTTCCGGAATTAATAAGTTCGTACTTCTTCCGTTTTGTGATTAGTTAGCAGCGATTGTTTCCAGTTTTAAAAACATGGTAGAAGCAGGAGCTCTTCTCTGCGTTTCTGAACCTTTTGTGCATGTTTTGGCAAACAAGGAACACGAATTTCGGTGTGAAAGTTGCTTGGAAAGGTAAATAATGGTTTTATAGGATGTATCGCAACAGTCATGATGATTGTCATCCCATGATCTGTTCATTTAAGTGGTTGAACTCGGCACGTTTTCTAGTTAGAATATTCTAGTCTGTGTCTTGGGACAAGCTCTCACCACAGTTAGAATACGTTCTATATAGTTGTAATGTAGTATATCGGTAGGACAATATCATTTTAACCACGGGCACTGGAATTTGATGTAAATATTGAGTATGTGCATGTATAAAAAAGGATCAATTTTATACATGCACATACTCAATATTTACATTAACTTCCAGTGCCCGTGATTTTAACAATAGATTATTCTATCTAGTTGTTTTCATAAATTCAGATGAAACTGGATTAACGAAAGAATTTTATGCAGGCCCGTAGGAAGCAAATTTAGCTTGGGTGTGTGTGTGTGGAGGGGGGGGGGGGGACAGCCATACATTTTCAGTTGACAGTTGAGGGGGCACTACAAAAAATTTTCTAACAAGCAAAAAAAAAAAAAAGGTTCCTATGGCCATGTTATGTATCTGCAAATGAGGTAACAAAGAAATAATGGACAGACATTCCTAATCTACACATGCACCAATGCAGAAGAGAGTTCAAAATGTCAACAGCAGCAGAAATAAAATAATCAGGGAAAACACTTTGTAAAAATGTATTAAAGGTTTCCTTCATGTTCAATCATTTTTGTTTGCATGCATGTAAGCATAGGAAACATTCTGATGATCTCTGTTTTACAGAGAAGCATATATAAATTCTTTTGACAAACCAGTTTATTTGGAAATAACAAATGACAGAACGTTCTGTCCAGGATGATTGGAAAATCTATTTCTGACACATTACATATAAGTAACTGGATATTGTGAAGAATTGATCATACATGTGACTTTTATATTTTAAAAACTTGTATCTTTAAGAAGTGTCCCATTTCTTCCATTCCAAATCTAAGAGACAGGTGGGGAATATATTATTTCATGATTATTTTTTTTTCTTCTTCAAACATGTTGGATCTTGATAAATCAATGGCATGAAATAATATATTTTAGTATCTTAAGGATGTATAAAACTTAATGAATGGTAGAACTATCTGATACAGTAATATTAAATTAGAGAGATATACTTTTAGTATTAAAATCTTAAAAAATATACCTAGATTTATTTTGAAAAAAACACAAACAGTTAAAATAACCAACAAAACAACCCTTTGATTGAATTGAACTCATGATCTAGTATCTACAGTGCCTTGATTTACACTTCTACCTATTCAATAGACAGTGAAATGAAACAAGGGAATTAATTAAAAGAAACTTGAATTAATTTTCAGTTCTGATTTTTTTTTCCACGTGCTTATACAATCAACATGAAATACACATTTGAAAATCTTCATTTAAGGACATCTTGCAGCCAAACTGTTTGCATTATTACAGTGAGTAGTTAACTCTCGATCAAAATTTAAATTTTTTTTGTGGATTTTACCCTTGATATTTTGAACAGTCTGATATCCCAAAGTTTTTTCTCGGTCCCATGGAGTTTGAGATAATGAGGGTATACCGTACTTACTATAAAATTGTGAACTTTGATCCCTAGAGGGGGATTGATTATGTATTGAAAATTTTATTTTGTAAACTTTTACTCAAACTTCATCCAATGCACCATTTTGGAATGAGTTTGTCATGCCTTGAGAACCTCATGTTACTTGATCAGGTGACTATAAAGGCCCTCTTGTCTCTTTTTCAGAGCAGAGTCCCTGAAAAGATGCAGTGCCTGTGGTACATTGAAATACTGTAGCATTAAATGCCAGGTGATTACTTTTTTTTTTAATTAAAAGTTGACATGTATGCAGGATACGCTAGGTTTTATTGGATATGATTTTATCCATTGAGACTCAATCAATGATTGAGTCGTGTTTTTTTTTTATCCAAGAGCCTGACAAACTGTTTGCCTGATTATAAAAAGCTGTTAGCCATTATCAAGTTTGTGTTTTTTATGTCCCCATTGTCCAGCATTCGGGCCTGAAAGTTCAAGCTCCAGTGCAGGATGGGGCTAATTTGATTGTAAAATGCATACCTTTAAAATTTCTTTACTCCTGGATATATAGCAGATAAATGAACATGATTATAATAGGCACTGAGCCCCCTTACCAAAGCATGTTTTCACCAACTGGGTAATGAATTCAAGTTCCATGGTAGGGATAAAGGTGATCATATACATGTATTGAAAATAATTCTGTTTTTAAAAATTCTCCTCTTCACTTCAGAAAATCTAGCAGATAGATGGCCTGATAATAGTGAGCTTATTATGCCACTTAAATTGTATTTTTTTGTCCCCTTGGTCCAGGGTTCAAGCCTCTGTGTGGGTCATAATCATACACTAAAACATGCTTATAGCAAACACATTTATAAGGAATTGATGCTTATAGCAAAGTGATTTCCATTCCCTGTGGCTTTAAAACATATTATGAAACAAATGGATATTAGATATTATGCTTATAATGAAGCAAAATTGTCCATCCCTGGCATTTCATTATAAGCAAGTTTTACTGTACTACTGTACGTGTATTGAAAATGCATGTCTTTTAACATTTTCATCACAAGTGAACTTCTAGCACAACAGATGTTTTCACACATGTATTGCATATGTATGGATAACAAACCTGTTGATCCTAAATTCTCTGATTAATTGTAGAGGGGTGACTGGAATGTCCACAAAAAGGAGTGTCCCTGTCTGAAGAGACTACAGTCAAAGATCCCCACAGACAGTATACGACTGTTACTGAGACTGGTCATCAGATTCTCCGTAAGGGATTGTCTCTCTAGTGATTGTGATCTATATACATATAAGCACATTTTCCTTTGTGTAGAGATCGTATGTGCTTAAAAGTAAAGAGGAGGGTTTTTTTCTATAGGCCTAATTTCTTGATTTATGGAGAAAATTAGTATTCATTTATTGAAAGATGTTCAAACCACACTGAACTGTTTATTTTTTAGAGAAATTTTTTAATGAAAAATTTATATATGATTGGGACTCATCTTATTTGAATTAGATCGTATAAAACAAACCTGCAGTTCAATTACATCTTCAACATCTTGAAGACTAATCATGCAATTTCACAATACGTACACTCTATTCCAGGACAGTAGTCTTATACAAGAGGCTAGCGGTACTCTTACACTAAAGAGGTCATTCAATGACCTTATGTCACGTAAGTAACTTTGACCAATTTAAATTCTCCATGCTTCTGTTTTTCTCTAAATCACATCTAACTCTGAGTTTTGAAAAAAAATAACAGTGTTCAATTCAAAAAACCTGATACTTTATATCACAGTGATTTTTACTAAGGTCAGTGAGAAATAATTGAATATAAACAAAATAAGTCATATTGACAAATCTGCCTTGTATACATATATATACATGTATGTATTGTATTATTATGATTTGTAGATGAAAAGGAAATCAGGAGGGATGGTACTCGATGTGAGCAGCTTTCCCAGCATTTGTTTACCTTACAGAAAGTCACAAACGGGATTCTGGACCTACCCTCATCTCAAGATCTCCTACAAATCTTTGGAAAGGTGGGGAATTTCCAAGCAATCAGATCAACTGTGCTAGTGAAGTTTGAGGGGACCAAAAAAAAAAAAAAGAGAAAATAAGAAATAATTACCATATCTCATATAAATGTTCATTTAAGTGACAAAAAAAGGGAAGATAAAGAAATAATATACCTCGATAATATCTCTAAATTTACATATGCTGTAAACCAACTTTTCTTTGCATGTGAGAAATATATGAGTTCCTTCTTTTACTCACAAATAAAAAACCAACAAATCATGAATAAAACTACTAGCTGTCACAATCGATTAATAGTTGGTTTACAGTATGTCTAACTGTATTTATGTGTATTTCATTATTTGAATGACAAGGACTTTAATCAGATTTACAATGTATATCAGAATGATAGATTTCTACTTCCAGATGACAACCAATAGTTTTACTATTTGTGGAGAGGAGATGCAGCCCATTGGTACAGGTATTTACTTAGGGTTAGTAATGTCTCTAACAAAAATTCAGTCAAACTTCCTTTATCTTGAATACCATGGATATGTTTAAGTGGGTTGGAAATCACTCTTCATTTAAACAGTAAAACACACATATAGCAAACACACCTGTAATGAATTGACACTCATTCCTTATGGCTTTAAAATATATGTTGTGAACTTTTTGGATATAATGAATTATGTTTATAACGATGAAAAATTGTCCTTCCCTGTCACTTCATAATAAGTTTTATATCAATATTTTGAATCCTTGGATAACTGGATGTTTTTTTCTCAGCCCCATCAAGTTTGAGATATTGAGGTATGACTGTAAAGATAATTCAGATTAAATAATTAATTGTTTTTATAGTCAGATATCATGTGCATTTGGTGTTAAAATAATGAAGTAGCATGTGTAGCTTTTAAATTGAAATAACACTTAAGTTATTTAGCTATTGCTCATAGAAATACATAAAGATTAATTGATTTAAATATCAAATTTATTCCAGACCTTCACTGCTAGATCACAGATGTAAGCCCAATGCAGTCACAACATTCCAGGGGAGATTACTACACCTGAGAGCTGTAGAACCTATACCTAATCCTTCACCTTCCAATGTAAGCTTGATAACAATTAGAAAAGTTATAAGACAAAAAAAAAATTCAGTTTTTAGCTCATCTGAGCCGAAGGCTCAAGTGAGCTTTTCTGATCACATTTTGTCTGTAGTCCGTCTGTCTGCCTGTCCGTCCGTCTGTCTGTAAACTTTTCACATTTTCGACTTCTTCTCAAGAACCACTGGGCCAATTTCAACCAAACTTGCCACAAAGTATCCTTGGGTGAAGGGGATTCAAGTTTGTTCAAATGAAGGGCCACACCCTCTTTCAAGGGAGATAAAAAAGAATTAGTGAAAAATTAATAGCATCTTTTAAAAATCTTCTCAAGAACCACAAAGCCAGGGAAAATGAAACTCATGTGGAAGCATCCTCAGGTAGTGTAGATTCAAATTTGTTCAAATCATGACCCCCGGGGGTAGGGCGGGGCCACAATGGAGGATCAAAGTTTTACATAGAAATATATAGGAAAAATCTTTAAAAATCTTCTTCTCAGGAACAGCAAAGCCCTAATTGGTCATATTTACATGGAAGCATCCTCAGGTAGTGTAGATTCAAGTTTGTTCAAATCATGACCCCCTGGGGTAGGGCGGGTCCACAGTGGAGGATCAAAGTTTTACATAGAAATATATAGGAAAAATCTTTAAAAATCTTCTTCTCAATAACAGCAAAGCCCTAATTGGTCATATTTTTATGGAAGCATCCTCAGGTAGAGTAGATTCAAGTTTGTCCAAAACATTACCCCCGGGGGTAGGACGGGGCCACAGTGGAGGATCAAAGTTTTAAATAGAAATATATGGGAAAAACCTTTAAAAATCTTCTTCTCAAGAACAGCAAAGCCATGATGAGTCATATTTATATGGAAGCATCCTAAGGTAGTGTAGATTCAAGTTTGTTCAAATCATGACTCCCGGGGGTAGGGTGGAGCCACAATGGAGGATCAAAGTTTTACATAGAAATATACAGGAAAAATCTTTAGAAATCTTCTTCTCAATAACAGCAAAGCCCTAATTGGTCATATTTATATGGAAGCATCCTCAGGTAGTGTAGATTCAAATTTATTCAAATCATGATCCCCTGGGGGTAGGGCGGGGCCACAGTGGAGGATCAAATAGTAGATTCAAGTTTGTTCAAATGTTGACCCCCTGGGGTAGGATGGGGCCACAATGGAGGATCAAAGTCTGAAATAGAAATACATAGGAAGATTTCTTCTGATGAAGAACTGCAAAGCCATGATTAGTCATTTTGATATAGAAGTATCCTCAGGTAAAGTAAATTCAGTTTTGTTAAAATGATGACCCCCGGGGGTAGGGTGGGGCCCAATAGGGGGATCGAAAGTTTTACATAAGAACATATAGAAAAAAATATTTCTTCTCAAGAACAGAAAAGCTATGTTTAGTCATATTGATATGGAAGCATCCTCAGGTAGTGTAGATTCAAGTTTGTTCAAATGATGACCCCTGGGATAGGGAGGAGCCACAATGGGGGATCAAATTCTTACAAAGGAATATATGGGAAATTTTTTTAAAAAATCTTCTCAAGTACAACAAAGCCATTTGTTATTTTGACATGGAAGCATCATCAGGTAGTTTAAAATTCAACCCCCCCCCCCCCCCCCCCCCCCGGAATCTTTTCAATACTGAACTGATTTGTGCTTTTGCCTAGCCAGTGTGCTCAGGTGAGCGATGTGGCCCATGGGCCTCTTGTTCACATTGCTAGATTTGCTAAAATTTCTATGCTAATATGTTTCATTTTAAAGATATATACACTAAATTCAATGTTATTTAATTTTGCCTTGAAAATCACACATCGGTCTCTGTTTCTAAGTGATTCTTGTTTTACTGGTCATTGTTTATTTACATCTTTGGTAATTCATCTGTACCTCTAGCTGATTTCCTTCAAATTTGTATCACAGGTATTCATCAGTTATATTGATCAACTTGACACCACAACTGACAGAAAGAAGAATTTAAGGGAGCAATATTATTTTGATTGTGCTTGTTCCTGGTGTCAAGATCAAGAGATGGTAAGAAACTTCTGTAAACATGTACATTTTGAATGTTAGTGTTGACTGTAAATTTGACACGCTAATGTGAATTTCACTGTCAGTTTTATGACATCATAATATACAACTTTTGAAAAACCTGCTTTATCAGAGGTGGTGAGCAATGTGAGATTGCTAGGCTTTGTACAATTGGCAAGATCTCTCATCAATCCCTTAGTAATCTCCCTGAGGTCTCAACAGTCTCCATGATCTCCCAAAAGTTTTGACTTTTCTCTACCCAAAACAGTCTCTCAGGGATAAAAAGTCTCTCAAAAAAACTCCCAATAATTATTTGAAGAGCACAGAAAGATCCCCAAACAATCTCTTAAGTTCCTGAATGATCTTCCAAAAATTGGGCTTCCAAAGTAGGGTAGAGATGACCCAGAGATCATTGGGAGATCACAAAGAGACCAGTTGAGCTTACTGAAAACTGCATCAGAAATGTTTGGGACATCAATATCCAATTGAGATATCATTGAGAGATCTTGGAGAGATTTTGAAGACTGGTGTTAGATCTTGGAGAGATTGCCTTGGCAATTGATGGCAATATCCTCATATATTTATTGCACAGCAAATGCATTATGATCTCACTATTAGATTTACACAGAAACAAAATTTTATGGTCTGAGATAGTTGAGAGACCAGACAAGTGGAAATCACCCATAGTTCTCTCAGCGATATCCATGTGTGTAAAGTTGTTATAACCAACAGTTATTTGCAAACTATTTCCTTTATACATTTATATTAAAACCAGTTTGCAATTACCTGATTGATCCATTGTGCTTTATTAACTTCCCCTTAGAGGATGAATGGTTCAGGATGACAACTATGAAATTAGAGTGCAAGTCAGTATCGAATCTCGCAATTGTCTTTTGTATGTGAATAATTATAGTTGGTTACAGTATGTAAAGTTGAGTGATATATATTGAAACAAATTAGATAACTGTTCCTTTTGAGTTGAATTTATTTGTGTCTTGTTATCATACAGGTACAATCACAACTGTGTGTATGAATACTTTGGTAATGAAAATCAATATTTATACCCCCGCAAACGAAGTTTAGGGGGGGTATATTGGAATCACCATGTCTGTCTGTCTGTCCGTCTGTCTGTCTGTCCGTCGACAAGATTTTGTCCAGAGCGTTTCTCGGAAACTATTGCATAGATCTGTCTGAAAATTTGTACACTTATTATTCACCATTTGAAGGTTTGCACCTGGTATTTTCATCATGATTGAATAATTTTTCTGCATTTTACAGGTGTTTTTTTCATTTTTATTATGTGGTTTTGTCCTGACCTTTTCTCAAAGACTATTTCATAGAATTGTATGAAAATTTGTACACTCATTATTTACCATATGAAGATGTGCACCTGGTATTTTCAACATTATTTGATAATTTTTCTGCATTTTACAGTTGTTTTTTTTTTCATTTTTATTGACTTAGTCATTTTGGGTTTAATTCTAAGGTTTGAGACACAGAATCTAGAACATCTGTACAAAAATGTGAACTACAGCTTAAAACTATTCATTAAAACAAAAAAAAAATCACCAAGTATTAAAAACAATTTTTACATTACACAGCAGATAGTGTAAATCCATTTGTCCCTTGGGAGTAATGAGTGGACATGCATCCAGTTAAAGATTAATTAATGAGTTCAGTGTGGGAAGTTGTTAGAGCATCTCTGATCTAGCATGTGTTATCTATATCTCCTGGGAATTTAAAGATCTCTGTTCTTTAATTCTCTTCATTGTAATTTATTGTCTGTCATATAGTACATAGTTAAAGGATGACCAGCCTTTCATTTTAAAATGAATTTGATATAAAGTTATCAAGATTAATTTGATTTTGTAATTAATTGATTTTTTTTTTTCAAAAATCAATTTGCAGAATGTCATGTCTCAAAAAGATGACAGATAGTTGCAACTTATTTTTTCAATGTATTAAAAACAATGTAATTACAATGTATTGGTATTGATGTTTTATTAGGTTGTTCCTTAGTTTCATTCTAAAAAAAATATAATGAGCAATTATTTTTTCACTCTAAATGTTAATAAGAAAATTGTGAACACCTCTTTGATCCATAAAATATTAGTGATTTGGCACCTCTGAAAAACCCAGCGGGGGGTATTTGTCCCTTTTGGACAGTTCTAGTTTTAAATAATTTAATTGTAAAAATACTATAATTCTACTGTGATATTTTGTGCTTGGAAGGAAATGATTTTAAAAAGTGCCAGCACCAAGATAACTAACATGAAATTATTAAAAATTGTCATTCAGATTAGAATTGACTAGAAATTGAATCTTCAAGCTGATAAACAAACACCTCATGTTTATCTGGCATGGAAACTGCAAGTAGTCCACTAGGACTGTAGGCAAGTCCAGTAGGTCGTTCAATCCCAGAATTCCTATCAGACAAGACTGTCAGGAAGAAGCCCAGCCTTGAGAACACAACCACTCTGTCATTTCCAGCATCTGCCACAAAAATCAGTCCATTTTTGTCTACAGCGATCCCTTTTGGATACCGCAATTGTCCCTCTCTGATTCCATCATCACCAAAATGGAAGAGAAATCTTCCATGTTTGTCGTACACTTTGATTTTGTGGTGACCCGAATCAGCAATGAAGATGTTGTCCTCACTATCTGTGGCGAGGTAGGATGGATTATCATAACCATCACCACAATCATCTCCTCCTATCTGTTTCTCTTTTATTCCTGCAGAAGACGTTATGCTTACTGTCTCGTAAATCATATCAGAGATCACAAATCTCTCGTCAGACAGGGCAGCGACTCCAAATGGGAATGAAACTGTATTTTCAGTATATCTTGCAGTAATGGAAGACACCAAACAGGTTTCAAGGTTGACTTTCTTGAGACATTTTTCAGTTTCATCAGTGAAGACAATCATTTGATCGCTTGATGAACATAATGACCTTGGGCAGCATCCTGGTAGAGGGATGACCTTCAGGGACTGTCCCTCTTTGGAAAAGATTTGAATTCTCTCATTACCATTTTCACCAACTACAAGTTTTTCATCTGATGAGAATGAAATTCCATATGGAAGACCAAGTTGGGAGTGTTTGGACCTATTACCCCCAATCTGACTGAGCAGTGTAGCCATAGGAAGACATTGTTTTTGTTCTGCTGTACGTTGTGGTTGGATTACTGTTCCATTGATTGCACTGGTCAGATTTTTCACCTCACTCTTCATTCTAGTAACATTGATTTCATGTTCAGGGGACCCATCTTGATTGAGATGGCTGTATTTTTTATGTAGGTCACCACAGTTAAGTTCTGTAGTTCTTTCTCCAGGTAGAATTTTACCAATATGTGCTACACCATTAGACACAAACTGTGCACATTTGGGGATTTCCGCTAACTTTTTGCTGTATTTTTCCATTATTTCAATGTCCTGGACATCTTTTACAATGGACTTGAAGTTTTCAGATATTGTATTGATGTCTTGAACCCTTAAAAGAGACTCCAATCTTGACTGTAGCTTAGTAAATTGGTTGATGTGCATTTTACATGTTTCTCTCCTTTGGCTGAGATACTCATATTTTACTTGATAGTCTTTGTCTGCCTCATTCAACAGTCTGCTTTGTTCATGGTAGACATAATTTATCACCTTGTGGGAGTGCTTCCTTATTTGGAGGTTGGTTTGTTCATGTTGACTTTTGACATGACCCTCTGTACTGGCCAAATCAAACATGACTTCATTCAGATGGGATAAGTGATTTCTAAGTTGAGACATACAGTTTCTCAATTCAACTCTCTTAAATTTACAGCTGTTGTCATTGTCCATAACATCATGGTCTTTGTGCTCTCCCATGATGCACTTGACACAAATTCCCATGTTGCAAGTCTCACAATGATATTTGATTGGCTCTTTTGAATGCATAGAACATTTAGAATTTTCTTTTTCTGTGTGCATAGATGATACTGAAAATACAACATGATTTGATAAAACTGAAGTTGTCTTATGTTCTGCGAAACAGAGAGTACACAGATATTTTTGACAGTCTGCACAAAAGTTATCCACAGGATCTTCGAAGTCTTTATCACACATGCAACAAGTATGTTCATCCTTTCCGTTTCCTTTGTCCTTCCATTCCTTTAAGACGTCTCTCAATCTGACCACCCTAAAATCTCTAGGAAAATCAAAGAGGCCACTTCCAGGGGAATTGATCCATACTCGGCAGGTGGGACAAGGAAATCTCTTCAGCCTCAAAGACTTAGAAACTTTTTTTTGGGATGTTGAAATATGGTTCTGTAAGCAGAGAGCACAGAAAGAGTGAAGGCATGGCAGTGCATGGGCATTCTCTAGGTCTCCCAAACATATAGCACACTGCAATAATTCAGAGGTCAAAGATGATTCCATGGCATTTCAGAAATACATGTATGGTCTCATCCTTTTTTTGCACTTTTTAAATGTTTTTTTTCTCATCAGTTGAAGTATATTCGTTGTCAAATTCATCCAAAACTAGTGGAGCGAAAGACTGCTAAGTTCTAATGGAAAATGGGGTCGACTCTTCACTCTCTGTGGATATAAAGTTGAATTGAAAAAAATTAAAGTACATTAAACGTTTTTGAGATGCTGAGCTCTTCCTTTTCAGAATTGAATTAGAATTGCTGTATGGTACAATTTTTCACATGGCATGCTTGATCAATTCACTGTAAGATGTCATGACATTAAATATATCCTTGAACAAGGAAGATACTCCATGAGCATTCATTATAAATAGTGAAGTCCTGAGCTACTCAAGGATGTGAGTAGGTATAGTTCATCATGCTTATGTGGCAGTGTATGAAGTTAGTATCCTATGTGTAGGTGACAGATGTGGTTTTAATTAAACTTGATAATGACTTTGGATCAATAACCCTGCATTGTAAGACTTAGGGTGGGGAGGGCTTTATTGATGTTTTATTTGCATGGTCTGGGCTGTATATTGTAGTGTAGACTTTATGCATTGCAGCATTAGTTTGATTAAATTTGTTATTGTGGGAAATTTCCATTATTGTATTGTTTGGGCTATTTTGATACAGCTTGTTTTCAGTATAATTTAGTTGATGGAATACAATTTATGAATTGCATAGCAATTGATAATAGTTTAAGATTTCATAAAAGTTACTGAATAATTCTATATTAACTTTTTGAAATATTTTTGGAGTTCATAATATTGTTAATTTTTTTATACGCCCCTCTTTAGACGGGACGTATTATGTTATGGCGTTCATGTCCGTCCGTCTGTCTGTCTGTTAGCTTTTCTCGTGTCCAGCTCATAACTTTAATACTATTAGGCCTAGGATTATCAAACTTTGTCAGCTGATACTTCTTGGGTAGAAGGTGTGTCGCGCACTAAAAGTAGGTCGTTCTGACCTTTAATTAAGATGCTATGGCCAAATATGGAAAAATCCTGTCAGGCTCATAACTAGAAAACTATTAGACTTAGAATCATCAAACTTGGCCAGTTTATGCATCTTAGGTAGAAGGTGTGTCGCGACCTATTTCAAGGTCACTGTGACCTTTAATTTAAGTGAAATTTAAAAAAAAAACTGTCTTTTTACTATTAAATTACACAATCCCCAAAAATGTAAAAGTGTTGCAGTATCCTTATTAAAAAAATGTTAAAATCAAGAAAATACTTATTTTTTCATTATATACTTTACAGGAATCTATAACAAATATAATGTTACAAGAGAATTCCACCTCTCCCATGGGTGTAATTATCAAGCACTGGTCAAGGAGAATTTTGATAACAGAAAATTGCATGTCAAATTAGAGAGAAATGAATGAGTTTAGTGTGAGGAGCTAACTGGTAGAGCATCTCTGATCAAGCAGATGTTATCTATATCTCTTGGGAATTGGGCAGTCTTATTTAGGAATCAGCCATGTTGGATTAAATAGTTTTTGTGGGCTAGCCTAACTTTTAAAATGAATTTGGTGAAAAGTAATTAAAACTAATTTGATATTGTATAATAAACTAATTTGATATGGTATGATAAACTAATTAATTAAAACTAATTATACTGGGGGGGGGGGGGTGATATTGGAATTAGCATGCCCATTGTCCATATGAATTGCAGCTTAAAACCAGTCTGACATTGAATCTAAAAAAAAAAAAAATCAAGTATTTAAAAAAAAAAGTTTCAATTATGTAGATAGTCCCTACAAATCCAAGAGTCAAGCAGAAACCTTAATAAAACTGTTGTGTCAAGATTACAATTTTTTTTCTTTTTATAAATCTTTGTAACAAATTGAAAAAAAACTTTGTTTTCAAATTAAATTCAGAATGACATAAATATGCATTTTAGTTGCACTACAAAGCAGATAGCGCAGATCCATTCATACATGGGAGTAATGAGTGAACATGCATCCAGTTAAAGATTAATTAATGAGTTCAGTGTAGGAAGGCTAGCTGTCTCAATCATTTCTGTTAGAGCATCTCTGATCAAGCAGTCTTTATCTGTATCCTTTGGGAATTAGACAGAAGAACTGCTGGTCAGTTTATAGCATATGTCTTTGATGGCCAGTCTTTTATTTTAAAATTAATTTGGTATAGATTAAGTTGTTAAGACTAAATTGATATTGTTTAATATGATATTTTTCTTTAATTTTTTTGAAAATATCAACTAATAAATTTCAGAGCATCATATGTCTCACAAATATGAAAGATGTGTGTGTGTGTGTGAAGGGGGGGGGGGGGAGGGGGGGGGGGCTGCAGATGGGCATTTGTCAAGCTCTAACACAAGCAGTTGAGGATCTATAATGTAATATTTGTTATAATTCATGCCTACACCACAGGAAATGTATAAACAAATATTATAAGGAATGGAAAAATCTTGGAAATTGTTGAATCAAGGTTGACTTGATTTTCTTGCACTCTAAACTGTTTGTGATAATTGAACAATATTTGATGGGCGTATCATGCTGTGGCGGGGCACTTTATTTTTTTTTGGGGGGGGGGGTCGTTTGGTTTTTTGTTTTGTTTTGATTTTTTGGGTAATTACTTATGAGGTTTCCCCTTATTTTACACAACAGAGTCAAAATTTCATTTAAATATATATGTGTGTGTATCCTCACATAGAAAAAAGATACTGCATTTATTTTACTTAAGGGTAAAATTTTATATTAATCTGATTGTTGTGTCCCCACCCCCTTTTCGCAAAATTAAGAAATATGTAGCTGTACTGATACTGAATGTAACATTCCCTATATTGATCAAAAGATAATCTTTATTTTATAGACAGAACAGCTGTCTTTGTCAACAGATGTGACTGACATTAAATAAGAATATAGTGATTCAATCAAATCAATACAATGTAGAACATATCACAGGCAAAAGGAAATTGTGTGTAAATATGTATGTAAATTCAAAATATTCATAGATTTTGTTGTTGCACTTGACTGCTCATAAGTATGAATGACTGTATATAATAACATTCAGAAGTATTAAAATCTGGTCAGAGTACAGCAGCTCTGCAGAGCTGGCCTGCTGGGAGGATCGAGTACTTGCATGACTTCATTGATTTTTCACATTTTTTACATGGAGTCAATTTAGTATTGCCAATAAGAGTAAAAATATCCTGCAAGAATCTTTATTGTGTGACACAACTTTCAAAAAAAAAAATGTTTACTTGCATATTTATCTCAGCATCAAATCCCTTCTTCTTCCCTTGTTTTTGAGGTTACATGATAATTTAGCTTTTTATTGATTACAAGAAAATGACACATGATGTATGTATTTCAAATGATAATCTTTTTACTGATTACAAGTAAATGACAATTTTTTGAGGAAATTACAAAACATTGTGCAGTTGGCACAGGGTTTTATATGTATATCTGTATTTATACTTATGTATCTAAGATAGACAAATCAATTCTTAACAAAGATTGATTTATAGAAGACATCTTTTGCAGGAGAATGCAAAATTGGCTGTGAAATGCCCACAGAAAGACTGCAATGAAGGCTATGTCACAGTTCTGGAGGGTAAATTTATTGTTACTAAAACTGACCATTTTATAATGACACTACATACATGATGCAAAATAATCTTTATCTGTTCATGGTACATGTGTTATGGTCATTCTCTGAGGGCTCATGCATCCACTTTAATTCATGTACATTAAAATTGCTGGGAACATAGTTTTGCATTCATTTTAAACTCACCTGAGCCAAAGACTTAAGTGATATTTTCTGATTGATGGATGCGAGGAATCCAGATCTGTCATCTGTCTTTCATTGTCTGTCATCTGTAAACTTCACACATTTTTAACCTTCTTCTCCATTGAACCACTGAACTTTCAACCAAACTTGCCACAAAACATCATTGGGTAAAGAAGATTACAGATTCTTCAAATGAAGAGTCATGTGATTTCTTTACAAATGGAGATAATTAAAAATTAGCGAAAATGTGGTGGCATCTTTTATAAATCTTCCTTTCAAGAATTACTAGGCTAGAAAGATGAAATTTACCAGTACATGTATGTGGCTGCATCCTGACAATATGAAGAGTCAAATTTTTCTCAAAGCATGGTTTTCGGGATAGGGTAAGCCACAATAGGGGATCAAAGTTTTACATGGGAATATACAGTAAAAGACAAATACAGCAAACACACTTATAACAAATTCTCTTTTACAGTGATTTTATTCCTTGTGGTTTTAAAACATATTATGAACTTATCGGATATAACAATTAAATTATTATTTTAATGAATCAATATTTTTCATTCCTGGCACTTAAGTGTGTTTTACTGTATGGGAGAAAAATCTCCTGATGAAAAACAACTGGGCAATGATTAATCATATTACTACAGTTGAACTTCGGTATTTTGAACATTGATATCTCGAATACCATGGATATATTGAAGTGATTTGGAAGTCCCAACCCCTTATTCCTTATTCATTAAGTATATTACCCTGGATATCTCGAATCCTTGGATATCTTGAAGTTTTTTCTCAGTCCCATTGAGTTGGAGATAATGAGGTTTGATTGTAATCAAAGTATCTTCTGTTAGTGCTGATTCAGGTCACAATATGGATCAAAATTTTTCCTGGGAATGAAGAGGAAAAATTTTAAGAAAACTATGAGCCATGAAGGTGATCATTGTCGCCCATGTTGTATATAAAACTACAATAAAAAGTGACCATTTTATTCAATTAAGACTAAAATTTAGTTGACTTATTTATACAAAATTGTGTACAGATGGTATCACAATTGCTACCTGTTCTGTCTGTGGTCAGTCTGTCAGTGATGAAGAATTCATTCAGAAGGCCTCGGGTCTGGAGGAAGATTGCCAGAGATGTCTGGAGGAGGCCAAAGCAGCCAAACAGTCAAAAGGTCAGTATATTTCATGGCTGTATATTCTATATATAATAGTTTTATTATCATAAATACTAATATTCATGTTTTCCTGAGAAGTGAAGTGTTTGAGTAATACATATGGCATGTAGGATTCTTAATCAGATAAACTCATGCATTAATGATTTCTAGTTATGTAATGAATGTGATTCATTTTAGCTTATTTAGTTTAAATTTTTGTGTTCTAGATCCAGAAAGAGTTTTAAGTGTTTGTGAGAGGTGTCTGAACTGTTATGCTGACTTGTTTCATCCACTGAATCTAAGTCTGGTAAAGATTCTGGACTATGTGTTTGATGCTGCCATGGATTTACAGCTGTGGGAGAAAGCTGTGAATTATGGGAGTAAAACGCTGCCAGCATACAGGTATTTGATATGGTGTCCCAATATATAACAATTCTACATTTTCAACCTATTCTCCATAACCATGAGACCAATTTTATCCTACAGCATAACTTACTACAAAGCATCCTTGGAAAAATCTACAATATTTTCAAATGAGGCCATATATTTTCTAGAGATGATTAATAAATTAACAAATATTGTAGTGAAAATATGAATATTTCATTTGAAATCTTTTCTCTGATCTAGATAAGACAAAACAACAGAGGCTTTGGAATTCCTATGTAGTGTAGATTCAAGATGGTACAATTATTTGTATTTATGACAAAATCCCTGAATACTGCAGTTTCAGGGTTGTTCATACCATAGCCCCTGGGGCTAGGGTGCTATCAAAATAGGTTCTATTGAATATTTTCCACTTCCTAAGGAACTGTAGTTCACTTACTACACTATATAGACACATATGGAAGTAAACTAGAGATACTATTGTATCTTTTCATGTACAGGAAATACTACCCTCCCTACAGTCCCAATGTTGGTATTCAGCTGTTAAAGCTGGGGAAGATTCAGCTTTATTTACAAAATCTCAAGGAAGCACTCGTCTACCTACAACAGGTTTGTCAATTTAATTTTTAACTGTGTTTAATAGAATTGGATGTTGGTGTTATTAATAGCACATTAATTTAAAGTAAAAGACTTGCCCGAATGTTTATAAATTAAGTGTATGATTTGTAAATTTGAGTGCCACAGTGCAAGACTTATAAGGGTCCAGGGTTGGGTGGGGGTGTTTGCCTTCCCAACCATTGTCACTTTACATGATAGCTTGAGTGTCTTTCAGCCTACCTAATTCATATATATTTAGAACATAGGTGGAAAATGGAGGAAGACTCACTTTTTTCTGGTCAGTAATATAAGATCAAGCTCAGGGACAATGCAGTCAAAAAATCAAGTTCAAAATTTATTTTCCCATGTATATGCTGTAAAAAGTTTTGCCTATTTCAATTTTGAATTTACCACACAATGAAAAATTAAAGTCACTTACTTGATGTCAGCAAGTTTAGAATTACTAGTATACATGTGCATATATAAAAGCATTCTAAGGGGCTCTGGTTTACTGTTAGTTTTCTAGTTACTTGTACATATTTGATGTACATGTATTACTTTTTTAACGTGTTTTTAATCTACTAAAATATTGTATGTGAGTATGATATTAGGACTTTTAAGTCCATGTAAAAATCTCCAAATACTTTCAGGCTAATGACATTCTGTCTGTCACACATGGACGAGATCACACACTCTATAAACAACTCATAGAACTGCTGGATCAGTCACAGGAAGAAATGAGAACGAGGCTGGAAAATGGAAGCTAGCTCAGAACTAATCCTTAGAGAAACTTTTTCAGATAATGATATTTGCTTTTTCTTCGTTACAAAAAGGATGTATTGAAAACAATGAAGAGTCATAAACTACAACATTGAAGAATTTTTAATTACTATGAATTTTGGTTTCTGAGTTTTTGCCATTAATCCATGGATTATTTCCTTGTTAAGAAATACTTTCAAAATTACATGTGGATGGCAATTTATCACATGGATATCACTCACTGGATATTATTTTCATATCCCACTGCTGTGATGTCACAATGGGTTTTGTGTGAAAGTGATGAAGTAAAATAACGTGGATTCAAATATAAAACAGTGTAAAACATTGATAGTAATGTAGAAAACATGTGATAAAAAGAATCTCACATGATTTGTGGTTAGATATGATTTTATCTAACTCGTTGTGTATTTTTTATCTCACGCCAAGGCTCGGGGATAAAAAACACACAACTTGGATTAAAATCATATCCAACCACAAATCAGGGGAGATTCTATATTTAGCACACCTTTTATCTTGAAAATTTTAATCAAGATATTCTCTTACATCTTTTAATGCGGTTACTAAAATCTGAGATGTTACGATGCAGTTCTTGGGTTGTACATGATCCTTGAGGTATACCTAAGTGCACAAGCTACTTAATGAGGATTTATTGTTCTGAAATGTTCCCATTTAAGATTATGATGAACATAAACAATCTATTTGTTTGTTTGTTTGTTGTTTAACATCCCTCTTGAGAATTTTTAACTCATATGGAGACGCCACCACTTGCTGGTGGAGAGCTGCAAATTTTGACCTATACTTGGCACTCGGGGCCATTGAGCAGTGAGGGATCTTTTTCGTGTCAGCACCTACTGCGACACGGGACCTCAGTTTATACGGTCTCATCCAAAGGATCGGTCCCCACGTCCCACAATGGGATTCGAACCCGCGACGTAAAGATCAAATCTTTACTCCGCAATTCTAGAGCAAACGACCTAACCCCTGCACCAGGCGGGCGACTAAAAAAATTATTTATTGGGGTAATTTACATCAATTTACATCAACTATGCTAGAAGAAATCTTACACTAATCTTGCATATCCATTTAATGTCTTGTCAATGATATATTTTATTCCAAAAAAAAAACAATATACCGTATAAGTGGAAATTTTAGCGAGACGCAACTTGTTAACGATATTTAATTTTAGTGATCTCAACACCCTCGCTAAAAATTCCAGAATTGAATTCTCGCTAAAATATCTGCTTATACTGTATTATGCTGGTATCGTTTATTCAAAAATGATTTAGATATCACGAACAATGACATTGACTTTTTTATAATAATAGTTAAAACTGAAGGTGTACATTTACAAAAATTCCAGTACACTGTATTTTGTACTTTTAACCAAGAAAAAAGGAAATCGGAAGAATAAGTACAGAAATTACGAGGTATTTTAGACGCTCAATCTGTAAGCCTTATGCCAAAATTGTAAGGGTTGGCAGATCTGCACTTTCCAGTTTAAATATCCATAATTACAATTACAGCTTCTAGATTTATATGTTCATTTTGTTCTCATGTAAAACAGTCTCCTTGATAAAGCAAAGAACAAAAGTTGGGACTGAAAATTTATTTAATACTGGATTACTGATTCTGACAATACAACATAAAGTTCTTTCCTTAATTAAACAATGGGGAAAAAAAAACAGGTAAATTTATATCATTCTTTGAAATAAGCATAAGAAAACAATGCAAACTGATACATATTGGTAATAGTACTATATATACCGACAATTAAGCATAATTGATATTTTTCTTTATAATGCAAAGTGTTTTAAATCATAGTACAATGTAATTATGTATTCAAATTAAATTATTATACATGTATTATGTAACCTTTTTTTAATTTGTATACATGCCTGCATGTATGATCTGTGACACATAAAGTGCTTAAACTATAATCATTTAACCTTGAATAACATTCCTTTACCAATTGATGTATTAAATATAATATTTCAATTTTTTTCCCTAACAGTTTCTCATATTTCACTTGTATCACTGACACATCAGTGCTTGTAACTTATTTATGAAGATTTTAAGAAAAACATTGGAATGTTACTATAAGGCTTTATATAGACTAGTAAGTTGCATTTTATGCTATGAGTGTTTTTCTGGCTATAAAATATCTAAACAAATTATTGGCAAGATTCCTTAAAGGCAAGATTTACTGAACATTTCATAACCATTCCCAAGCTACCAAAAGACATAGCTAATGTCTTCTAATTCTTAACTTTCTCTACTTACTATGATTTTAAGAAACACATGCTAATTAAGCAAATAACCTCAGTTCAAGCATCTAATGCCTTATGTTAAAAGAAGTTGTCATAGAACCGTACATGTATGAAAAGTTACTACTTGAAGCATACTATATCAAAGATCTGAAAACAAAATCATCAATACATTAAGTAATACATGTATGTCATTGACATTTTCTCCATCTCATCATGAAAGCTGACCTTTATATAACACAGGCGCCAGCTACATTTAAGATTATGCTAATATGATTGCATTGCTTATGATTCAAAGGCGAATAATTGTCAACAACAACAAGACACACGTGGATCTTGTACAACTCTGATAGTTTCTACATTGTACGTGTATAGAGTGTATGGCACAGGCATGTTTTGGTTACCTTAAAGCTTTAAATTATGTCTTTTGTTTCTGGTACTTCAAGTTACTAGTATTGAAATGAAATTATAATGTATTAAATGCACTTCTGATTCAATCAAGGTCACAAAAAAAATAAAATTGTAATATATGTTAAAGAATTGATCATATTTAACATGGTTGATAAGACAAGAATATCACAAAAATTATTTATATTACTTTAAAATAATGAGTTTTCAAGAATTTGAAAAAGTGTAAATTACTGTGTTCATTACATTACACTGTCACACTACATTGATTCATACACTCTCAAAAAAAAAAAGAAAAAAAAAAAAAGAAAAATCCAGATACATTGATATATGGAGACTTCTTCACAAAAATTCAACAATTAACGAATAACAAGTATAGATAAATATAGATTTTCTTTGTGCCATAGAGAATGTTGGATTTCTAGACCAGCTTGGGTGCATCAGTAGTATCACAGATTTAGAACTCTTTTTTCTCACTGGGTGAGATCACATTTTTCTTCCCTAAGATTTTACGTAGGTCTTTGCTCATGTAGTAAGGCTTTTCTGGGGAACCGTCATTTCTCTCCAAGTCCTCCACTGAAAGATAACATGAAAAACATGTGTAATACCTGGTTATAACATATAGCTATTATTATAGATGTTTCACCTTTTCTTTGATAATTCATTTTTACAAAAAATTGTAAAGCTTTAATAAGAGGTAACATTTCTAGTGTAACCGTGTTAAAGAATCACTAATGCCTAATTATTATGTAGAAATTATGAAAGAAATCGTTTGTATTGAAAGAACTATTTCTATTTGTCATAGCCAACTGTATTTATCATTGTCAACCTCTACAGTACAACTCAGTTACTGTAAACCAACTATTATTCGAGTCATCTTTTATTCACAATTCATCAGTTTGAAATCAATCTGCGAAGATTAATTTTCGCTACTGATCAAACATCCTCTACAAATACAAAGCAAAATAAATAGTTCACGGCGATTAATATTCGCGAGTTAAAGAAGGTCACGAAACTCATGGATATTTCTTGCACGCGAATAATAGTTGGTTTACAGTATAAGTAAATCACTGGGACTTTAAATTTTACTTCCCTTTAACCAAGATTCTTTATATCCATATATGGAACATAGTGAAAAGTCACCTAGGGAATTCACAAAAAAATCCTTATAAACAAGATTTCCTTATAATAGTTCTTTAAAACCGAGTTTTACTGTATTTAAAGATTGATTGATTGTATGTTGTTTTACGTCCCATTCGAGAATTTTTCAATCATATAGAGATGTTGCCAGTGAAGGGCTTCAAATTTGGACCTTTACTCGGCACTCAGGGCATTGAGCAGTGAGGGTTCTTTCTCGTGCCAATGCCTACCAAGACATGGGGACTCAGTTTTGAAGGTCTCATCCAAAAAACCCGCAATTTTCACTCCAAAGTACTGAGTGCTTGGCAAAGGAACAGTTGCTACTTATTTTTTATTGACTTAGGTCAGTCATGGCAGTGATTCGAGCACTGTATTTTAAGTTAAGTAAAATTTAGTAGGGATCATCTGATTGTCAACAAGTGTACAACGTTTGATTGACAAGCAAATGGTTTTTCAAGATGCTCTGACCTTTGATCTTTTGACTTGAAAATCCAAAGAGGTCATTACCTCACCAGGTCAGTGTTTAAAGTTTGATGACTATCACTGGAATGTTAAAAAAAAAAAACTACTGGCCTAAAACTGACTGACCATCAGGTGCGAAGTGATATGCTTCTATTCTTTGAAGACATAAAAACATATCAACAGATTGAAAATCCAATAAAGTCAAGCAGTCCTTTGCAGAAAACATTTGCAGTTGGCAATTATAGGTTAGATAAAATCAACTACTTTAAATGTGTGTGTGTGTGGGGGGGGGGGGGGGGGGGTAGGGAGGAGGTATATGTTTGCCAGTTTTACAGCTTACTTACAGAAGCAGAGAAAGAGAGTGTCAACAGCCATTTCATACACACTGAAGAAACAGCTGGCTATCACATAGGAACCCAGTGTAACTATCTAAAAGATAAAAAGATTTTATACATTTTCAATCCAAATTACATTACAGTTGTAATTTTAGAGTTTTATCAACAATCTGCACTGATACTAAGAATGAGAACTCGCTATTGTCTTTTCTAGGTAAACATGAGACTGAATGATTTTGAGATACCTACCACTATAGGGACTACGTAGAAATTAAGGGACGGAGTGAATGAAGCCAGGAACTCGATCCTGCCATCAAAGAAAAAGTAGGAAGTGGCCGCTGAAAGGTAAAATGGTGGGTACTGTATAATGTATGTGTGTTACTTTCATGCATTATCTGACAATTTGAATTCTAAGACTTCTCTGTAAATATAAAACTTCATCTTATTGCCACATGGAATATAAGTAATTACAAGTTATGTGGGTGTGAATCTAAAGCTGATGATTTAGATTGTATACTACCTGCAAAGGCAACGACCACCAGTTTACTGACGAACAACAGGAAATCTGTCACTTTGTCAATTACCACCACCCTACACAGGAAGAAAGAAATTAAAATGAATTAATTATACAAGAAATTGATGAATAAATACCACAAAATAGCAAAATTTTAAGGGAGACAACTCACCTGACAATATTTCTCATGATCAGCATAAAAGCATTCTTTGCTGAAGTGCAGAAGTTCTTACCATGAGCTGCAATCTGTTAAAGAAAGGAAGGGTAAATCACTTTAATGATGTTTTATAATGCAATAGATTAAACTTGTTGATTTCTTAATGGGCAATTGTGTACACCTTGTAATATATGAAAAATTTAAAATTTTGTCAAGATGAGCTAAAAATTATATTACTTACAAGAATGTACGCATTTTTGTTCAGGAATTTTAGGAATTTTTCAAGGCACCAAAAGCAGCATTTGAGACATCTGGAATAAAAAATGGCAATCTTTTTATGAAATCTTTGAACATTTTTTTTTTCATAATAAATTACTGGTACATTGATCAGTATTACAGTAAAAACTTCAAAAATGACTGGTGCTCAATATTTTCACAATATGTAAATAATTTCATAATTTTATCTTACATATGTGTCTTAATTCACTTACTTGACAAAAAATTTAGCCACTGGGTTCTCTTTCCCCTTAAGTTTGGCATCCACGTACTCCAGCGCCACCCTGATCATCTGTACAATAGCTATAATCAGAGAGCCAAACGCCAGAGATCCCAAGTGGTACCTGAGAAAAAGACACAATCAGGAAATGTCATTAGGAAACACTGTGAACATCTCATGTATAGCTCTTCATGACACAGAGACATTTATGAATAAACCAATCAGTATAATTTATAAGGTTTCATGCATATAAAACAAATATGATAGTTCTAAACACTTCTTGCCAAACAGATAAAGGTTTATAATAGTAAGCACATCTATGTTTCAAATTATACAAATTTTTTTTGATGGAATTCATGCAGTAATAAATAAAAATGCACTTTCCCCAACTGTCAGACCACAAAACATATGAATCTTAATATATACAAATATATAGTGGAGAAAACAGCAAAATATGTAGTGATTTGGGTTATTATTGTTTGGGGCAAAAGTTGGACATTGACTCATATATTATTATTTCATTATATTTTAAGTTTGTAATGTATATATATGATGTATTTTTAGTTCACCTGAAACACCTCCACAGTGAGCTGAGGATGGGGAATGCTGGAATGTCTTTAGGTTTCTCAAATGCCCAGTAGTAAGATGCAAAGGCTCCAGCCAGAGTCATCTGACCAAGAGCAATGACAAAATTGACCAACCAGAACATCATAAAAAGGTTGAAGATTTGTGAGTAAAGGACAAAACTAAAAAGGAGAAATACAATATGGACATAAATGTTAGATCTACGAGTTTTTTTTTTTTTTTGTAGGATTATTTATCAAACAAATATTTTGGTCTTATGTCATTCGTAATATGTCTTACTTCTAAAGAAAAAATATGTGTCTGAAAAAATTATAAATACTTTATTTTGTAAATTTTAATCTGTTCTTAAAATATTGTCATTTATAGTCACCAGCATAATTGATAAGAATAGTTCAACATACTTTTCCTCTTGATTTTTCAGAAAGGCACAAAATTCGGAACCAGAGAGGCTGTCCTGCAATCAAAAGCAAACCCAAATATTTGAAGAATTAGAGATCAAAACGATATCATTGAACTCTTATAAGTATGTTTCTTTTTCTTACATTGTTATCGCAAGCCTCTCCGATGAACTGTCCAGTAGCTCTTTTTATCTTATCATAATCATAGCTTCCATTTGCATCTTTATACTCCGAGGAGTTGTTAAATTCAAATGACTGATTCCTTCCAGTGGATGCTAAAAATCTAGCAAGTTATTAAAGAATAATATATAATTCAACTCACTTTTAAAGATTATTTATGAGCAGATATACATATACATGTGTATACATGTACGTACTATGAAGAATACAGTGCTACATGGAAATTATATGCATTAATGACAAGGGCTGTAACCCTGCACAAAATGAATTTTATAATGTGCGTTATTTCCCTACGCCTTTAATATTCAGTTGAAGACCAAGCAGTATTCTCTTACACATCTAAGCCTCAGACATATTGAATTTCAAGAAACTATCTGATCTGATCATCATTCTCATTGAATAGAGTAAATATTTGACTCATCAACAGGAAAAAAATTGTAATGGTAGATGAAGGATACACTGCTACTGTCAGCCAGAACCCCACGACTATTATCTGTAGGAAAAACGGGAAAATGGGACAGATGAGAGTAAACATCATGGTGCCTACAGCTCTGAAAAATAAAATGGAGTACGGGTCAATTAACAAGAAACATTTGAGACTTTCTTGAGTACTTTACAGCTGTTGATACATATATCAGGTAAATGCAATGAGGATTGTTGAAGCTAATGAATCTTACTTGCTGCCTTCCTTGATGAGAGAGATAGCAATCCTAATCCTTGAGCACAGGATTAACAGGATTAGGAGTAAAATAATTAGTATAACTCCAGATATTATTCCTATAAATAGAATTGAAACATGAATAAGTTTGCTCTAATTACCAAAGACTAAATTATGATCCAAAATATAAATACATGCACCCAGTTATTGTATTATAGCTTGGAAAATGGAAGGTTATATTGCAGCATTTACCCGTACTTTTATCCATTGCATGAATCAATATAACAGACTTGCAAAAATGCAGGTCTCCACTCCTTTTTAGCTAATGATAATGTGATATTTATAGATTGGAGTTGTATCTTGTATGGAGACCTACCAAAAGCCAAGAAAAGCTTAGGTTTAGACATGGTCATCTGGATGACAGAGAATTGTATGTGGAATTCTTGATTTGAGTCCTTCAGTTCATAGTACTGGTACAATGTATAAGCAGCAGCTTAATAAAACAAAAATTATTCAGATTTAAATCAAAGTAGATTTCAATTAAAAAATCAACAAAGAACCTTTAATGTAATCAATCTAACATTCCATGTATTTGCTTTAATTATTTGATGATTTGTACTTACAGAATCCAAACAATCCAATGAAGGCAAATATTGTGAACCAGACCATGAATCCAGCTATCCACCTCATGATGATAATCCAGAGAAAGGCGAAGACCATAGCCAGGAGGAGGCCTCTAAAATAGCACAAGTAAGGAACCTGAATTAAGGGGGTCGATTGGGGATTTCATTGCACAATAAAGCGTATTTACTCTTTTAAAGCAACTATTTTCACATAATTTATAAAAATTAACAAATTTAGGAATTCTCAGGTTAAAAAATCAAATTACGTTTTTAAATAACTGATTTTTTAAACGATTTTTCAAATGATGGGTAGCTAGACGTCGTAATAGTGTGTTTTTGACGTTATGAATAACCGAAGTTCTTTAAGCGGGCCGTTAATTATGTCATAAAATAAAAAGTATAAAATAGATGCTCTTGAAAATTTAAAAATGGGAAATTGAGAATCTTACAATCATTTTATCATTTTTTATGTAAATCTGTGGTATCTGTCATGTTTTGTTGTACTCCATAAAAATAGGAAAATATCATGAATTTTGACATTTTGAGATGCCCCCTCTGAAAACCAGACGGTAGAATTTTTTGTTTCTTGCATAAAATGTACAATATAGTATCACCCATCATCTTTCACTAAATTTGGCATGTATACTATATAAGGTACATATGGTGTAAAATTAAAGAGTTTCTCTATAGCAGTTTTCACACAATAAAACCCCAGTCGGCTCCCTTAACTGCAACTTTATACTGTATTCCCTATTTCCATTTCTGTCACAATTTTATACAGATATATATTGACAATTTGTATACTGCTCTGACAGGAATATACAGAACAAGGATTTTCTTTTTCCAATATGAATTTTCATTGCATAAGCAATACTCAACTGCTGAAACACTTTTTCTGTATATTTTGTTATGGATAAATTTCAGCTGAACTTCAGTACCTAAAAGTCAATGTCATATAGGAATATATGTGTAAGTGAGTGATTCATGCCTATTTTATTTTTTAAAAATACAAATTTCAACCTCATTAACTTGATCTTTAGATGCAATGTATCTTTAAGTTTTCTGACAGTCCAACCATGTTTCAAAATATCCAGGGTTGACTGCATATGAAAAATGTTCCATGCAAAACACAAAGGGTTCTCCTAATTAAGAATTGAAACAAGAGGAAATAACTCTTACATGAGTATCATCCACCATGCTGTGACAACATCTTCTATGATCTTCTCTCCATATTCTTTGGCTTTAAGAAATACCCCATACACACTGTGCAAAAAAAATTGAGATACTGCTACATAATTGTCAGGAAAATCACCAGAATAGTGCTGTACTGTGAGTTATTTCAAGTTTGGAGGCTCCTTGTAAGATAACAAGTTTGTATGAGAAATACAGTTGAATTTCAGTATCTCAAAACTGAATACCATGGATATGACAAAGTGATTTGGAAGTCCCAATCACTTTTTCTTTATGTATAAGGGTTGTCCAAGAAAAACGCAAACATTTTCAATATTTTTTGTTTTAAAAACTGGTATGACCATAATCAACATTTTTTACATAATTCACAGAAATTTCAATAAAACATCTCTATGAATAACATTTTTATCTTAAATCAACGAAGCATTCAAAACAGCTGTCGGCACAACACCGACAACGTCAAAACGTAGCTCGAGAAGTTTTTGAATTTGTTCGAAAAACATGCACCTTTAAAAATTTGTTCAAAGCATAAATTCTATACTGTATTTGATTTTCTTTTAGTTATCGAGTTATCCATTTCACATATGCTACAGTTAAGAATAAATCAAGGAATTAATTCTTTTAATAAACAATTTCCCAATCATAAATATAACTGCTAGCATAGTTAACGGCGGTCTCCATGTATGTTGTCCAGCTCTAGACTTTTCAGTTGTCATTTTTGTAGGTCTCCTAAACGCTTCTTCCATCAGATAACTAGTCCATCCATTTTTGAAGCTCTTTTACTATGTATAAACGTGACGGATACATTTATTTGTGTTGTTCCCTGGTTCCCAGCTCTTTTCCCGTATGAACAGGGATCATACCCCACTCCACAAAGTACTGAGTGATAATTTGGTGCACCCCATTATTGCTCGACATCACTGTTTTGGACAATATCTAACTTACATGTATGTGCATATATTGTCATATTTTTCTTAATTATAATGTCAGAGTATTGATTTTTTACACACAAGTACTCTAGATCATACAGTTTCTATAGATGTAATTTTGGTCACATTAGATTTCTGTATAGCTGATTATTAAGAAAACAATGTTGTCAGTGCAATTTTTGAAAGTCAAGAAATTGCCATGCGCCAACTCCGATATTTAACACCCTTTGAATGTTGTTTCTAAATGCATATAACATTACAACCTTATATTATTTAGCCAAAATGATGAAAATATCATTCCCCAACATTGTGCTAGAAATGAATAATTTTGGTCAGGTAGTTTATGAAATATTTAAAAAGTTCACATTTTTCTGGGACAACCCTCATATTTTACCCTTGATATCTCGAATCCTCAGATATCTTGATGTTTTTTTTTCAGTCCCATCAAGTTCAAGAAGAACTGAAAACATCTTCTGTGATTGTAGGTCAAAAGAAAACTTACTTCAGCCCAGCCTCCATGACAGTACTGTCATATGTGTTTCCTTGTGCATCTTTAGCACTGGCATTAGAACTGGAAATTTCTGTTGCTAAATTTTTACCCTCCTCCAGAACGTCAATCAGGAAAGAAGGGACACATCTATTTATTACTGAAAAAACACGTTTTAGGATTGTGAGTACTCTTTAATATAAAAAAAAGTGTACAAAGATATGGAGTTGCAAGCTTTAAATAAGTTTAGTTCCCTTTCCTTGATGGTTACAAAATTTCACAAAAAAGTGGATTAATGTGGACAAAAAATACAAGAAAGCATGACCTTACTTCTAGGAACCTTATACATACATGTATTCAATATACATGGTTGAAAAACGGTCACATACTTGGTGTAAAACTTACATGGCTTGCTCTTGAACCAGTATCGGGCACAGTCCTCATCAGACAGCAATGTAGCAACATCCTGTAAACATAAACATTTATAGATTGTACACCAGGCTTCATTGATACAAAGAACAAGATAGGGTAAGACCCCTTTTTGGCCCCGGTTTTTAGTCTAAGAATGATGCAATACTGTAGATCACCAAATATTCATGACACCATATTTTAGCAAGATAGTCATTTGTTATTTATAAGCAAGACAAAATTTTCATGAATTTTGACTATTGTTTTAAATATAAATCCTTTGTAAAAAAAAAATGTATGCTAAAATCAAATTTTCACAAGAGATAGCCTCGCTTAAATAACATGAAAAAAGATCTCACAAATAAAAAGTGATTTACTGTAGTTCAATCATCATCAATAACCTTTTGTCGTCCCTGTTACAAAATGAGTATTTTAAATTGACTCTAAGACACACGGAGAGCACAAGAAGGTCAGAAAATATGTCAATGTCAAATTTGCATCAATTTTAAAGCAAATATAGTTTCAGAAGACACAAAGCACAAGTTGGCCTATCTACCAAATTTATTTTTGTCACACACTAGCATCAGATGCGTCTTGTGTATGAAAATTTTAGATAGCTAGGCATGCAAGCTTGTGCTCTGTTTCCCAGAGTGAAAAGTATCTTCATTTTGACAAAATTCCATCAGAATTTAAGGAAATTTGGTAACATGTCCTACTTTGTCATCCTCTTGTGGCCTCTATATTAGCTTTGAATCAAAATCAGTGCTTGTTTTTAAACCAGCATTCTTTATAGTTCTTAATTGCAAACTAGCTAGCTATCACAATTTTAACTTTTTTTTGTTTGGATTTTTATATCAAATTAACTGGGCTAAATTGGTTGTTACGGTTATTTAACAAATGCCTTTCATACACTCTATAAACTTTATAAACCAACTCCTGTTTCTTCAAGCTAACTGGAACAGCTAGATTTATTATGCTACAATATTGGCTATATATGTCATCTACTGCATACCTTTGAGGTTGTTGTAAGATCAACATCATCTTTGCAGTACTTTAAGTCAGATTTTGTATTAATGCCTGGTGTTATTAAGTCATTCTCTGTTGGACATGCTGCTACACAAATCTGTGAAAAGTTACATAAAGATAGGTTTGGATTTAGCTTATATGTAAAGGCTGCAAAATACAGGAGAGAAATGTACATTTATTTTAAATGAATGAAAAACATCGCAAACATTAAATTCACCTGAGGGGTTGGACATCCTTTCACAAACACACCTGCTCCCATGCGACCACAGGCTATCAGGTCAAAAAACAGCAGGTTTGGCTTACCCCTGTAAAAAAAATTGAATATGAGCATTAAAACAATCAACTGAAAAGAGAAATTACGGTACTACAGAATGTTTTGTAAAATGCTGTTAAGATTCACCCTCTTTCAGTTCACTCACATAAAATTTCTCTTTTATATTAAATTTGTGTATACAGAACTATGTTCAAAACTGTTTTAAAGATGTATCACAGTGCAAACAAAAATCAATATCCAATAAATTGTCAAGTAAGTGACATTTCATGTATTAACTGTATTAACAAATTTTGCGATGTGAATGAAATCTAGCCTGATTATGCTTTATTTACTTACGTTTGTTTGCCATATCCACAGATCTCATTGTTGGAATTCACTGGATAAACCAAGAGACGAGGGTCACCATACTTGAATGCTAAATTAAAATATTAAATATTTAAAAATTTATTATATACAAGACAGTGTAGTTAGTAATGCAACATGAAAATTTGTATCGCATTCAGTGTATGAAGTTTGATGAAAATACCTTGAATAGTTTCTTTAAAACTGAGTTTAATACAAAATACCGTATATGCTTGCCTATAAGTCGGTTTTTTGGGAGTTAAACTTTGGTCCAAAACTCATTATACGACTTATACACAAGTTATAAAAAGACTGGTATTTTAGTGGGTCAATCCCTCTAATTTAAGCTTAAAAAATACAACCGACTTATAGGCAGACCGACTTATAGGCGAGTATATATGGTAAATAGTAAAGTCAATTAAAGGTCATTGGGAAGGTCAAGGTAAAAAAAAATCAACACAGTTGATAAATTCTTACCAAATAATATTGTATCAGTGCATACTTATATAAAAAAAAATATCTGGAATAGTTTCTTTAAAACTGAGCTAAACACAAATTTGAGAAAACTTCATCAACTTATGAATGATACAGATTGAATCAGAGTTTTTGATGACATAATTTGGCAAGAGGTAGGTCATATATGTCAAAGGTTAATACCAGGACAAGGTCATGCATGCATGTATATCAGATCAAAAGTAGGATTGGATTTGTAAGACTAGAGGCACTATAGCTGTATTTTATAAACAAAAATTATTTTATATTGAGAAATAAAATTAGACAATTATGTATAGTAAAAAATGTCTGACCAAGATGTTATATATTCTGAAATCTTGCCTATTTTGATGAAAACTTAGTCCCTTTCAGTAAGTTAAAATTCAGAATGTTGTCTTATCAGACAAATTTCTATGGAACCAGTGGCGTATAGTACCAATTTCTAGGCATCAGAACATGCAATTCAAATTTAGAAGTCTTGAATTCCCTATATATATAGGTATTGTATATATATAGGCACTGTAATGATAAGACATTTTATTCTATTTGAATTTTAAGGTCAGTCTACAGGTTCCTCAATAATGTATATTTTTTCCTTAGAATTTGTTACTACTTGAGCAAGTTTCCTTACAAAAAGTTGATTAGAAGTACCTTTGAAGGCATTTGTGCAAGATTCTGAAACTGTCTATCCCTAGATGCATCATCCATGCAATATTGGTCCAGGTTTGGCTAAAATAGTCACTCATCTGGAAAATGTAGGTCAGATCAAGCATCCAAAGCAGGTTGAATGCATGTACAACCCTAGATGCATCATTCGTACATGATTGGTATAGGTAAGGCCTTTAGTTACATGGTACATGTAATAAACCTGCTTCAAAAAAGTTTAACCTGTTCACTTATCTGGAAAATGTAAGTCAGATCCAACATTCAGAGCAAACCTGATAGTATACATACCTAGATAAAACATCCATGCAAGTTTAGTCTAGGTACGACTTATAGTCACTTGGGAATGGACCTGCTCCAAAAACTTCAACATGGTCACTCATCTGAAAAATGTAGTGCACACCCAGCAACTGGAGCATATCTAGATGCATCATCCATGCAAGTTTAGTCACCATAAAGCTTACAGTTACTGGGAATGAAATCTGCTTTAAAAAACTTCAACATGGTCACTTACCTGGAAAATGTAAGTCATATCCAGTATCTGAAAGATGTTTGGGAATGTGCATACCTAGGTGCATCACCCATTGAAGTTTAGTCACCATAGGGCATATACATTTAGTAAATTTGGAATGGGACTGCTCCTAAAACTTAAATGCTCCAAATATTTTAAGCTGCTCTAAAATCTTTAACCTGGTCATCTCTATGAAATATTTTGGGAGAAAATAGTGCAACATCTGAAACCTGACTGGTACAATGAAACATACTAGATGCATCATCAATGCAAATCTAAGTATAAGGTATAGAAGTATTTAAGAGAGAAAACTGGTCCAAAAACTTTAGCCTGGGATGACAATGCCAATGCAAAGGGTATATTCATGCAGCATCATCTCCCCCTGACTTTGTTGAGGTGAGCTAAAATACAGATAGTTGAGGAACATGTGGCCAGACCTTGAGTAACTCAATTTGAATATCCAATCTAAAAATTATTATACTTTTAATATCTAAGGTTATGATTAATACTTCCTGTGTGTCAATACCCTACTCACCGAAGTAAGCCACAACTACTAGTCCCACAATAAAGATCACAAACAACAGGCAACATATTATGTCTGTACAGGATCTAAAAAGATTCAAAAATAAATTAAATTCTGAAATTTTTGAATGGAAATTTTTATAAACATTGACAAAATTAGCAGTAGTTACATGTATCCATGGTAAGCTTGAAAATTTCACCTGTTTTTAATTGGACCTGGATTCTTTTCATATGTCAGTGGTTTACCTGAAATTATAAAAAAAAAAATAAATTTGATGTTTATAAACCAATGAATGTGAAAATGAAATATAAATTTTGAAGCACACACAGATTCAACAAACAATATTGTAAATGACCTTGGATAAGTTTCCTATTGGTTCAAGTGTTCCTTACCGAGCTCATTTTACACATTCCATCAGATGGAAATTCTCCCTCATAAATAAAACTGAAATTGGATGAAATAATCATACTACATGTAGCTCACCCTTATCAAATGCCAAATATATTAACAGTTTCATCAACAATTTCAAGGTGAAAATCAAAGGCAGCACCTAAAACGCCATCTTGATTTACATTAGAAATGATGATCTACAGTAAATGGGATATCCACAACCAAGACAAACATTTCATTTAAAGTGCCTGACTAGAAATGCTGGGATCCCAGGTTCAACTCCCAGTCTAGCCATATTTTTTTTTTCCTTTCCTGTTACATTTGGTGCCATTAATCACTCCTTGGAGGGGAAAGCCCTGCCAGGGGCTGAAGGTTCTGGGTTGTGTGTCCTCTAGAACAAGGGTTTAAGAGTGAAGGAATGTAGGGTTTTGATATATAGATTTTGGATCAGCCTGGGTCACTCATTATTTCCATTCCAGGTCCAAAAATAAATGTCTTCTCTTCTCTTCAGTTTTATGTGACTCTCAATCCTTCCAGAAGCTAGAAAATGTGAGCTTTGTGTCTTCAAGGGCAAAAACACTTTAAAGAGGGAGGAATGGTAGTGGTTTTGGATACATGGATATCGGCCTGGATAGCTCAGTGGTTAGAACACCTGACTAGTAATGCAGAGGTTCCATTCCTGGTCAAGCCATAAATTTCTTTTTGTTTTTGTTTTTTTTCAAATGTCTGATGTATAGCAATTAGTCTCAGTCTCACCATTCTCTTCTTTACAATAAAAATTGTACATTGTTTGGTACTTAAAGAAACTCATTTGATCATGCTTGTCTTTTTAACATCATGACTATATATACACACATTATAATATTACACGTAGATAAAGATCTTTTTCGGTTCTTTATGTTTTAACAGGAAGTGTCATATAGAGATAGAAATCAACCTTAGTCAAAATGTAATACTATATATTCTTGTTTCCTCCAAGTTTAAAACTGTGGTATGAGTATTTTCATTTGAAATAGGTTCCTATAATCATATGGATATCATTTATGATTAGAGAAAATCTAAGTCCAGAAAACATCTATTAAACTAGTTACAAAACATATCATTTTTTCTATTAAGCTTAACACTGTGTAAGTTACAGTTGAACTTTGGTATCTTGAACATGGATATCTCGAATACCATGGATATGTCGAAGGGATTTTGAAGTCCCAACTGCTTATTCCTTAAGTATTTTACCCTGGACATCTAGAATCCTCGGATATCTTGAAGTATTTTCTCGGTCCCTTCGAGTTCAAGATAACAAGGTTTGACTGTATTTGACATTTTATGCAAGTGTCCATGGTACTTATAAAAAAAAATTGCAGGAATGTCCATTTCAGAAAGGTTTCAAACTTGAGTGTAGACAGTGACATCAATTAAAAAGTCTTATAATGTACATATCCCCCTGGCCAACATTAATGACGTCAAGTCTATATATTTCATTAGATGTCCTAATTGCCATTATGTTTATAACAGTAAACCTTCACATTATCAGCACACATCCCATTGGTGCAGGTTATAAGAATATAATAAATTCTATCAATGAGCATTCTATGATCGTAACAGTAAGTATAATGGAACATATGAAAATTCCCACATGTTTTATGATGATGGGATTGCCCAAAATACATTGGATTACTGTTAGTACAAAACCTCATTGCAAATATCACAAAACAATTCAAAGAATCAATTTCATTCAGTGAAGAGAACTTCTTAGTCACATGCAAGCTTTTTTGTCAAATGTGATTGTCCACTTTTCTTTATCCAACTTCTGCATTATAACCCATGTCCAATACAGGAATTTTTACCCTTTTTACTTTAGCCTTGTAATCTTGTCCAAATTAATTTGGATCTGGCTCCTAGTGCACTCTCTGACCAAAGAACTATCTCCATGTTAAAAGTGATTTTCTATTTCCATATTACAAATTTGTGTGTCACTCTAAAAGCATTTTAAATTTGCTCTGTAAACCCTGCAATATTCACTTAATCACAGGATCTAGGTCATAACACTCTACAATTGACTGCAACCTTTTAAGTTTATGTCAAATATCAGTTTTTAAAATTCCTGCATCAAAAAGATCCCAATTAAAAATATTTAACTTCCCAGTAACTGTGACCTTGACCTTATCCAAATGACCTCTAGATATAACAAACATACATGTTTTTTCCATAACAAAAATATGAACTTGGCATGGAAATGAGAACAATAAAAGAAAAATTACAAACTATTACAATGATTTCTAACCCCCCCCCCTCCCCCCCCCCCTGGTAACCCACAGTTTAACAAAGTATTCAGGGTATCAAGCTGTGTAATCCAAATGCTGTTATAATACTGAGTCAGAAATTCAAATCTAACTCACCATATTTTTCCTCACCATAAAAAAGTACAATTACTGTTATAAAACTAAATCTGTAACCCACCATATTTTTCCTCATCATAAACAGCTTCTGCAAAGTCAAACTCCTCCTCCTCCTCCCCCTCCTTTCTCTCTGGGGGTGGATCTCCTGGTGGTGGGGAGTCACCATTATTGACCTCAAGCTCAATTTCTTTAGACTCCATAAAACTAAAGTCACAATTTAGTTACACTATATCTTAAGTGAACTTGCACTCAGAAAGCTAGATCAAGTTTCTCATGCGTGCATTATGACACATTTTTCGATTCATCCATTGAGACTAACACACTTCCAACTGATTCAGCAGCTAAATATATAAAACTTCCTGTTTCTTGTAAATTTTTTTCAACAAACATCAATTCAGATTGAAATTTAAGTTCATGAAGAAAACAGGCACATTTTAAAAACTGGGTGTAACAACTCTGCAATGAGATAACAATATGTATATATCCTTTGATAAAGTGATGCTTGGCTGAAATTCACAAAAAGTCAATCAATTGCTCTTTCATAAATGTAACATTTCATATCCAGACTGTTGGTATGGCAACTATTATTTTCATCCAATGACAAATACTTGTCCACTGGTCGTATAGGTTACAATTATCTCTCCCTACTCAAGTTTCTAAGACATGCACAGTAACAGAGCTGTTATAATATTAAGTTAATCAGTTGACAGTAGACAGGTTCTCCAATATCACTATATACACTTTGTCACACAATCAAAGATCACCGTATATATTTTACAAGCCAGTAGCATCACATCCTGTTTTGTTAGAAATGTATTCAGAACCTTACAATTTTACACATCCTTCAGGTGTCTAGCCATGAGTCTGTTGAATAATAATCTAAATTTCCTTCAAATTATGATTATTATTTTATGTCAACATACATATGATAAACATTTTAGTGACTCAGAAGTCACACCTACATATTAGGTACATGTACTATTAGTCTATATGCTTGTTTTTCATCACCTTGTGTTGTAAAATATATACTGCATGACAAATTAGCCCATGTTATTGATACACCTAATTAAGTCCCTGATAAGAATTACAGGCAAAGGGCCATTTCTTGCAGATGGTGAACTAATGGTATAGCTTTCTGCTCAGATTAAGGAGATATTTCAAGTAAGATGGTATAATGACTGAGCAAAGTATAATTTATGAGAGATCAAGGACGCATCACACTAAGATATTTCTCAAGACTAGATTTCCTTGTAAAATACGGTTGAGGTTTTTTCAACATGAAAATTCAGATGAGTACAGTACAAATATTTATTTATAAAAATCCTTCTTCTTTTTTAATAAAATTCGAGCCAACATTTATAGATGGGCCAACAAATTATGCAAGTGTATCAAATGAAAGGAAATAACAGTGAAACAAAATAAGTCTATATCAATTACCACCATTTATATATTTTGACAAAAGTGGCTTTTAATTATTTGGATTTCCTGCTGAGTGGGTGAATATATATATATATATCCAATACCTGACAAAATTAATAAGTGTCAATTCTAAAATTGGTCTGGGGTAAAGATCAGTGGTGGATCCAGGAATCTTGAAAAGGGGGGCCCGACCAGTTTGGGGTAGGGGCCCACGGCCTTACCAAAAAAAACTGATTTATTAAATCTTATGTATATTTTGGACACAAAAGGGGGAGGGGCGCAGCCCCCCCCCCCCCCCCAATCTAACTCCACCAGTGAAGATGTGTAGAAAAATTATAAAATAAATTTCAAGCCTTGCAATATAGGGAAAGGGAAAATAACAGGACCTACTATAATTACTTACAAATGCTTTCTGACTTTAAAAAAATGGGGAAGTACACCCATTATAATTTTGTAACTTCCATAATATATGTGTGACAATTTAAGGAAGAAATTCAAATAAAAAGGAAGCAGTAATTGATTTCCTTTTACAATATGTCATTTTGCACAATCACCAAGTGAAATCTTGATGAAAAAATACAAAAATGATGATTAAAAGATATTAAAAAGGGATGCTTACTTGGTATAAAATTGAAATGGGAAAGGACTCCTTTCCCCAAGAAAAAAGAGGACTAATACACTTAGGGCCTGATATCTTCTGAGATACTGCAGTACAATGACAGATAATTTACTCCCTAAGACACAGTCAGCAGGTTAATTCTTGATCTGATCTTGAATATATTCATGTATACATTTCCTAGAGGAAATAAATTTTAGATGTACAGCTATAGACATGGAAAAAATTCAAAGACCTGAGGGGAAAAATAAGATGCGCTGATACATGAATGATTAATCTGTTAAGTTTCAGAATTTTACCCCATTCTCATGAAACGATTGAATTAATTTAATTTGTTCAATGTTATAAAACATACTCAAAATCCCTTTACTTTTTTAAATAAAATATCCATTATAAAATATCAATAATTATTTCCCCTAATTAGGAGCTAGCTTGCATAAAAATGATCAATATATATGAATAAAATATAAAAGCCATAATTCCTTTACGATCACTCCTTGCATGCACCTTGTATAAGAGTTTAATTAAAAGAGTTGGCTGCAAATATTATTCTTAAAGCACTGAAAGGAAAAAAAATGAAAATGAAATAATAACCATATTTGGTGTCTGTGTCAGCTTCTTTCTCTGCACCCATAGCATACTTGTCATGTGGACAAACAGACATGTGATGTGTAGAACTGATCAGACTAAATTCTGAAGGTGGAATGGACTTATATTTCCACAGTCAGATTGCCCTGGGGCTCTCACATTAATGATTGTGATGTAACTTCTACTCACTTAAAATACATGGATATATGTACCCATGTGTTAGTAACAATCACGAGCTGTCATGATGTTTGGATTGAGACATGATGATGCATATTTATTGGAGAAGTTTATAGTTTAAATGTACATGCAACATGTAATTTTTCAATCAATAGTTTAAAAGCTATAGCTGCATGAATAAAAACACATTCAATATTTTGTATGTTAATGGTTTGGACCATTGATATTGGCCTAGATAGCTCAGTGATACATAGTCCGGAGTTGGGTTTGATTCCTAGCTAGTCCATCCATTAAGCTTTTAATTTTTTTTTTTGAGGGAGGGGGGGGGGGGGTCATATAAAACTTTTACGGATATTAATTTTTTAGTAAATGGCTACTTTAGAAGTAATGAATAAAAGTCTAGAGGGGGTCCTGATGTTCATTGAGCCATTTAAGTGATGAAACTCTGTACATATGTATAACTTAAGTATTCTAATGATTTTGGCATATTTGAGATCAGTACATGTATGTTGTTGCCTTATGACTGCACAAACCTTTTTAGCAACCAAGCATTCTCAGAATCAGTCTTCATTAAGTCTGAACTTTTGCATATTAAGATTACTTGTTTTTTTTTTTTCTTTTCTTTTTCTTACATATATAAACTTATATCATAATGACAAAAAGAAAGATGTATGCACTTATAATACATATATGATATACAAAATAAGGGGGAAATATTACGACCACAAATATGTTATTTTGTGAGTTGTTTTCCTTTTCTCAAGAAGACCAAAAAAAGACTATAGGATTTTGTCCTCTTCACTCTGTCTATGGTAGGATTTGAACCTGAATGCTTATCATAGGTTATAAGCTGTGATATATAATTTCAACTACTAGTGTAATTAAGAAATATAAAGCAGTAGTTCAACTTCAGTTTTCATTTATATTACAACAAACTCTGTCAGAAGTTTATGAACATTAATATGAATCCCTTTATCAGTAAAATCTATGAAAATCAATAATAACTTTATAATATAATCTTACTTTCATCTACAGTTTCCAGTTTTTCCATTTTGAAGATTATTAGCAAATTTCTATCTTATCCATGGACTCCCTGAACTAATGGAGCTTGAGGCAGGTGTTATGTGTATTGCCCTCAAATTTACAAAGCAAGGATCAGGGCTGGAGAAATTATCAATAGATTTGAACACCATATGTGACAATTGTTGCTACCATAAGTGTATTACAAATCCATATACCAAATGTTCCCCTTACCAGATTCTTAAAATGTGCAAATGGAGATATTCTTAATGAATACAAATTTCAGAATCAAATACTTTACTCATTATTTTCTCATCAAAAAACATTATTGAACTCAGATGTATTAGATGAATCAGACATCATATCTGTAATTTTGTATATTTTTGATAATGTGATATAAGTCAAAGAAGTATATTCTGTCACTCTCAAAAAAATTCTCA